ATGAAATGCTATTCCCTTTGTGGAATACTAAATAACATTCACAATTGCCGGCCCTTAAACGAGTATATGATCACTTCTAAATAGGTATATGATCACTTCTCCAATAATCTAATTAAGAACTTTAAGAAAATGCAAGTGATCAATTAGAAAATAATAGAAACTTATGGTGTATGCCAAGTAGAGAAGAGTTTGTTGAGGTTGAGAGCAAGTGAATATCACAAGGGAGCATTTTTGAAAATTTAATAGGGAACATTAAATTTTAATATCGTCAACTAGCTCATATCTCACAAATTTTAACAAATAAATCACCCATATAATAGTTCAATTTCCAAGAATCTCACATAAGCAAATTCATAAAATAAGGTAACAATAAAGCAATCAACAATAATAACTTAACTTGAAAAGATATTGAAGTTTATCCATAGAGATATGACAAATACAACATGACAATTGAACCTAGTCCTAATAGCCAAATAACTAAAATCATCTTAGCCAATCCACCATCTAATTCAACAACATAAGTACAATTAGAATTGCAAATTGAAATTCACAACAATAAATTTACAAAATTCGGAAAATCTTGCTTAAGCAATTGAATCCTCTTGCCAAGATAGAATCTAGTTAATATTCACATGTTGATTTAGAGTCCAGATTAAATTTTGAAAACATACTGTAACATTTGCAAATTCTATCCTGCTTACAATTCGAGATAAATCTAACAATTCGAGATAGCAAGTTTAAAATAACCATTTTACAAAGTAAAAACATAATGTAATTATAACCAATTTGAGGTACTCACCCTTCAAAATCAAATAGGTCCAGGAAGTAAGGCCAATCAATGAAGCCACTCAAGTCATTGGCAGGGTAATTTGACGCCATGTGGTTAACCAAAAAATCCCTAAATGCCAAGATATTTGTACAGGTTAAGTTGTTTAGGTCACAATCTCGCAGAAACACAATTTAACCTTCCATGAAACACCTTCTTGCTGTGAAGATATTCAATTGTGCACAACAAATTCTTGATTTGCCTAGGCCAAAATAGGCTCAAGGTTGGGGATTTTTCTAAAACCAAATTTCATAAAAATCCTTAAAACCATGGTAGACCATAATAATTTCGGAGGTTGGTATTGACTGTTTTTCCTGGGCAAGGTCAGGATGGAATTGCAGTCAATCTCGATGGGAGAAGAAATGGTGTGTTCAAGTTTGAACAACGTTCAACCATGTCCACAAACTCTTTCAGAGACTCTTCTGAAAGGTTTTTTGAGAAATTTATATTCATGGCTCTTTTGGGTAAGCAAATCAATGTTTCCATTGCTATATTCATCAGCTTCATCACCTAGTTTGAAACAGACTTTCATGACATGCCCACCTATTACCATATGCTGTTGGTTTATAGCATCACGTTTAAGTTCCATGACTATGTTAAGTACGCTTTCTTGCAAGTGGTACTTTTTTAAATCATCCATGACAATCGCAGAAAAATTCATCCTACAACAAAAAAAAACAGACGAAAATTAAACAAATTTCAAAAAAAAAAAAGCAAGGGGTGGAGGAAGAGAACATGAACAGTGAGGGTTGAGGTCCAAGGGGTGGAGCCATGGAGGGAGGGGAGCCATGGAGGGAGGGAGGGGCTGGGAAAGAGAAGGGAGAGTCAGTGGTCACTGGTGAGCGGAAGGGGGTAAGAGAGAGTACCTACGACGGTGGTGGTCGGTGTGCAGTAGGGTTGTGCCTGATCGCCCCTCCTCTTCACTTCCTCGCTCTAGGGCGGGAGACCTATTCGTGTTCAGATCCTCCAAAATCCTTTGTGATCTTGGAGTGGATGTTTATAAATGTTTAGTTGCAAACACTCGTCTCCCCTACTCCCTTGTTGCTTCTCTGCAACACATCACTTCAATACTATTTCGGAGCCCTGTCTCTTAGGTTTGACACGTGTTGGGTTGGGAACATTTCCACTATTCGCGGGACCTTCTTCTCTCTTTGGTCTTCTTCTCTCTCTCTCCTCTCTACTCAAACCCCACACCCAACTCACCCCCTCCTCCACATTCCCACCACCCACCATGAACAAGACATTCACAAAAACACATCCACGTCACGGACAAGGAAGGAAATTAAATGGAACTAACAGCAGCCATGTTTTCTTTTCTCCTTATTTCGTTCTCACTCCTCTCCTCACTCAGAATACCAACCCGATCGGATTTTCCCTAGAGGCTTCTCCATTGACGGTGATCGATCGATACCCTACAAAGACGATGATTCTCTCCTAGTAGCTCCCGTGTGACATTGCCTTCGATTATAAAAGGAAATCTAACTTAGTTCACATTGCCTTCCTTCTATTTTCCTCACATTCATACAAACTTCATTCACATTTTTTTTCAAAAAAAAAAAAAAAAAAAAAAAACTTTCTAAAATAGAAAATTGAGGAAAACTAGAAAAATTGCCAAAAAGAAAAGAAAAGAAAATCAAAAAAATTAAATGGAGTGTATTGAGTAAACCAAGATTTTCACTTTTATGAACAAATCTTTGATAATAAAGAAGTGTATTAAAGGCAAACTAAGAAGATGACTGTGGAGAGTGTGTATATTGCAGGATGGTGGGGCTTCGAGTCAACGGCTACCGTTGTTGCTAGATATACTCCTCCAGCAGGAAAATTGACGTTGATGGGATGTAGGAAATACGGAAGTGAAGACAGCCATGTAGGGAAGTGAAGAGAGCCATTTAGGGAAGAGAAGTAAGATGTGATTGTGGGACGCCGTCGTTTGTTAATCTCAGACGGTGTCGCTGTCACTCCGTTCTTCTATTTTTTCCTTTCAATCGTCAATGGAGATTTTGGGGCTAAAGCTTGAGTCTGTTTGCCTCTGTTACTCTAACAACATTTCTCCTATAATCAAGCTGAAGATTGGATTGAGATTACATTACAATCCAAAGAACTAATATCATTATATTAGGACCAAATGGGAGTAGGGATGGCAGCGGGGGGTTAATGGGGTGGATATTAATTTCTCATCCCTATTCCTCGTGGGTACTACCCTCCCCATCTCCTAATGGGTTTGGATTTTTCCTAACCCAACTTGACATTTTTTTTATTTTTTTATTTTTAAGGTTCACAACCAATTTTTTAAGCTTCACAACCAAAACTAAATATATATTCAATTTTATTTTATTTGGCTCAACAACAAAATTAAACACACATTAATTAATTAAAAAGTTTGTCTTAAAATAATCAAATACACAATTTTGAGACATTCAAATAAGTTTTTAGTAATTAAAAAAAAAGTGGAAGAACCTGTTTGAAGAAAGTGTTATAAGACCCAGATTAAATTGCATCAGGACATAAATAAGGAATTGTTTGCTGATCTCTACCAACCAACACTAATACAAAGCTACCCATGTTCATCCCAGCAATAGCGCAAACAAAAATAAAAAAATTGTAACAAATCAAAATGCATAGCAAAGATCCTAATGACAGAACCAACAAAATAATGTCAAAAAACTCTCACCAAAACCCACATATGGATAATTACACTCTAAATACACATGTATGTCAAAGTATCTATCTGCGTAATTCTCAATCGATATTGATGGTTGTAAACCATCAACACATAGTTGGGAATTTGCTTGAGAGTTTGCTCCAACTTAAGACATTATCAATGCCTAAAAATCCTAGAGAACATTAATGAATAAATAACCTAGAATCCCCATTTAGGCATTTAGTCAAACAGTTCAATGAAACAAAACTCATATCCTAAAATGGAAACTATCTTCACCCAGCTAACATACCAATTCTTTATACTCAGTTTGAAGTGTGTCAAATGCAAGACTCATATCCTACAAAATACTGCAAATATAAATTGGTTTTAAAGGCCCTTGCTAAGCAATAAATTCAAATTCACCACATCCACCGTCAGAATCAAGAAATTTAAGACAAATATCAGCTGAAATATTTGGCTCCTACCCAAAAATAAAAAATTATTATTGGCTGAAATTTCAGTGGTGATTGATTACCAATAATTTATTGCTATCTAGATATGCAAATTTGAAATTACTAGTTTTTAACCTAGTTCGTTGATTGAGATATTTAGTTATAGTGACCTTTTACCTGGTTTAGTAATGAAATTGAAAGTATCAAAGTCACAGCCTTTCCCAAATACCCATCCAAAAAACCAGAGAGAGAAAGAGAGAGAAGAACAAAAATTCCATCAAACATTAAATTTGATTACAAAAAATTATTCCAAGAAAAAATCAGGAAAATTCCTAATAACAAAGAAATTAGTGTGAATGAGACAGTAAACGCTCTTAAATCTCATCCAAAAAAAAAAAAAAAACTCTCGTCTCTAAGACAAAAACTTAATTAGAGAAGGAAAAAAATGTGGGAATTTTGAAAAGATAAGAAACTTATACCACAGCTAAAATGTCTTGCCAACAGCTATTGCCTTCAAAAACCATAACTTGTTTAATATGCAAAACCACATTCAAAGTTAAAGATGTACTAAATTTCAACACTAGCTAGTGCAGGAACTTGATATTTTCAGTTTCCAACACCCGTCTACTCACACCCAAACCTTAGAGAAAATTCAAACCAGACAGACATGGATCAATATCTGGGTGGAAAGCCTACAATAACAGATGTACATGAATAAATCAAGATAATTAACCAAGAACCCTTTTCCTTCAATAAAAATACATGGATAGCGTGAATGCTTGTGCCACGTGTGTGCAACCATGTAAGAATGAGACTTATTAATCTTATAGAATTCAAAGATCAGTGGAAATTCAGAAACAATAAACCCATCCATAGACTAGAGAACCAATTCAACAAGCTCTACCATGGATTCAAAGCATCTACAATTATCAAAGAAAACCTCATATTGATTATTGTTGAATGAATCAAGCTCTTTAACACTGACCACATTGCAATGTATTAACTAAAATAAACTAAAATAAACCCTTTTGACAAACTATAAAGTGGGAAAACAAGAAAGAGAAACAAATTGAGTAGGTACCGATAACAACAACGCAATTTCAAGGGCTTTTGGATCTTTGAATGTAATAAATGCAGTCTTTGATTGCCCTGTATCTCTGCAACCCAATTTTTGCATAACAAATCAAAACAGAAGAACCCAATAAACAAATCAAAAAATAGTTGGAAAACATTATAAAAAAACATTATACTATGGGAAAATGGTTTAACAATCAAAATTAGCACTTGGGTATGCACAAAACAATTAAAAATTTGCATAAAGTGTCGCCAAATTAAGAGAGATACGACAGAGCACTCACCATAACAACTGCGAAGACCTCCTCGCGTTTGGGTTCTTCTTCTTCACTGGTAGATTCTACAACTTGCGAAGCTTGGGCTTCTTGGAGAGGAAGTGGAGGAGCTGAACCTGTGGGAAGAGAGAGAGGGATGGCAACGGGCCGGGGCGGGGCCGGAGAACACACTCCCTGTCCCCATGATGAAAACTTCCCCGGCCCGTACCTGATCCTCGACCCGATCCCCGACGGGGAACCTATCACCGTCCCCATCCCCGCCCCCTAACGGGGATCGGGTTTCCCCGACCCTGAAAATTCCCCGGACAAAAAAAAAAAATCTCAGCTACATCATCATCAACAAACATGACACACAGAGAGATCTAAGTAGAAAGAGAGATCTGAGAAAGAGATCTGAGCAACAGCAACAACATTATCATCAAACAACATCAACAACATCATCAATATCACACACACACACACAATCTGAGTAGAGAGATCTGAGCACAGAGAGAGAGAGATCTGCCGTGGTGGAGAGAAGAGAGGAGGAGGAGGCGACGGAGATGGTCGCTGCGGTGGCACCGACGAGAAGGTAATGGTCGCTGCGGAGGCGACGGTCGCTGAGGAGAAGGCGACGTCGCTGCCTCCCTTTGCTCTCTCTCTCTCGCTCTTTTTCTCTCTCACAAATTCGGTGGATATAGGGTTAGTATATATATATATATATAGGAATAAATATAGGGGTATATATGTAATTTCAGCTCGGGGAAAACGGGGTCGAGGATGGGGTCGAGGCTGGGGCTCAAAAATATATCACCATTCCCGGCTTGAAAATTATCAGGAATTTATTTTCGAATATCATCCCCGGTCCGTCGGAGGTATTTTTCGAGAAAAAATCATTATAATCGAGGTCGGGAGGTCAGGTTCCTGTTGGGCCGAGTTTAAAAGTAACGAAGAGAACCCTAAACACAAAATATGGGGGAATGGGGGGTACCCATCCTGACCCATATCCTACGAATATTTTAAAACACTGTACGCCACTTAGCTATGTTTGGAAAGTGAGTGTTGTGGCTTTTTTTTGGTTAAAATAGTTACAAAAAATAAAATAAGTTTTTTAATTTAATAAGATAAAATATCACATTCAATCCATAATCATTACATCTTTTTCTCACAAAAAAGTCAAAAAAGCTAAAAACTCTTTTCAAACTAGACTTTTTAGCCTTAAGCTAAAATAACCAAAAAATTCAAAAAGTCAAAAAGCCAACTCACTTCCCAAACAGAGCGCAGGCTTATTTTGGAGAGATAGTAAAAAATAATTTTTTGACTTTTAACTAAACTTTTGACATTTTTAGACAAATAATTTAAAAAGTCAGTAAAAAGTTGCTTTTGGCTTTTTTAATTAATACTTGTTTATGATGTCAAATCACAATAAAATGACCAAATTATCCCCATTCAATTTAAAATATTTACAACTTTATCCATGTAGCACATTTTGACCCATGAAGGATAGAATTGTAATTTTACTAGTGGCTGAAAACCAACTTCTCAAATGAAAAAAATACAAAATAACTAACTTTTAACTTTTGCTACAAAATTAAAAAAGTGGCTAAAAGTTAAGCTCCCAAAACACCCCTTAATTGACTTGACGAGTTAAAAAAAAAGAAGAAATTCATATCTTTGAGTTGGATCTCCATGAATATCCATGAGGTAGAATCTCATTGCCATCCCTAAATGGGAGTACAAGTTCCACATATGAGATTTATGGGTAAAAACCCAAAGAAGAACAACGAATATCATAATTTGAACATTGATTGTAATTAAAACTTTTGTTGTTTGCACCCAAAAAAAAAAAAATTAGTCATTTTTTAAAATTATTATATTCAAATATAAAAAGATGAACATATCAGGAGTCAATTATTTTAATATATTTTAAATAAAATTTCACTCCATCAATTTGGACTTTGAATTTACAAATTAACCAAATAAAATGTTAGATATGCACATAAGATTTATATATATACTAGCGAATAATCCGTACCTAAAGGCACTACCAACACAATTTGATTGCAAACCACCCTCTCTCATTGGCGAACATAATTTTTTTGAAAGAAACTCTAATTTGACAACAAAATGAACTCATCTCAGTAATAAAAACAATCAAAAGAGCAATAAGATAAGCATGAATAGCTTACTATAATATCATTGAATTAGATGATTTTATGGTTTGAATCTGAACAACACCAAAAAAACTCAGCAAACTTATATATTGAAGAGTGATAATTACATGTTTCACAATTTTCTACAATGACGTTGTCATAGCAAAAAATGATCTTATTCCAATTTGTTTTGTAACTAATCGATTTGTTCTGACCCCATCATTGGCTGAAACACATGAGAAATAGCATTGAACAAAGATTCCAAATATGAATGTGAGAGAGAAGATTACACTGGTTTTACATACTGAAACCTAACAATAAAATGATAACTCTTGTAAAGAAATCTTCCTAGTTGAATCAGGAAGCAAATTTCAATACCAGCAAAAATACGAATTAGGTAAACCTCTCCAAACACTTTGATCTAGATAGCAAATTACCACAGTGAATCAAACATAGAACACACATTGATGAACTTGCCATTTTTCCAATTGTCTAAGCTTTGTAAATGGATCAAATAATTAAAATTAAAAGACCTTAAAAAAACACAAACCATTCATTGCAAAATTCAAGAAAAAATCAAAATTTTGTGTCATGACTATTAGATTAGTCCAAAAGACAATATTCTTAATCATTGAAAGACATGAATAAGCCAAAATTGTACATTCCTAGCAATGTATGAAGCAACACATAACAAATTAATTGAGAAAAAGAAATAGAGATGATATGAAATGCATAGCTCTAAAACTAATTTGGAAGCAACAATGAATTTGAATACTAATCTTGCAAACAAAAATCAGTTTTTTACTTTGATATAAAGGACCCAACCAATCATCACTTCACAAATAAAATCAAATGTACACAGTGCTTCATACAAAAATTGTAAGAATCAACAACATAACTGTAAATAAAGCAATTAAATTGGATATGATTTTCTCTTTTGAAGCACTCTTTCTACAATTGAAACCTTCTTAGATACACATAAAAATTAATACCAAAACAATTGAAGAAACTAACACCAAATTTAACTATATAAAAAAAGAGGAATAATAAAAGACACACATAAAAATGAGTCTGCTTAATGGCGGGAAGCTCTCTAGAATCAAGATTCATTCCCACATAAACCTAGCCAAATGCACTGCAATCAGTGGCTGAGCAAAAAGTTGTGGCTTTGAGAAAAGCCTTATTCACAGTTGAAAATGCTGGACTCGATTTCATGAGGAAGCCTCTAAAGACACCTCCAAGCATGTTGGGTGTTATTCTAACTATGATAGGAATACAAATAGAAGATTTAATAAATGCAATGAAATAATATTTTAATTCAATAATTTTGGAAATTGACAATTGTTTACACAAATATAAAAAGAGTGATATTAGGGGTTTGTGATGGGGATACCCACTGGATCTGTTGTCAAATCTCTTAACCAAAGTGGCCTCAATCTATTCTTGGCCTGGCATGCTCACTTGAAGAGCTTCAATCGTCAAAATCAAATACTCATCGATCATTGACTTCAAGCTATAGTTATCCATTAGCACTCTATAGATCAAGCCCTTTCAACTCTCAATTGGCCCATCGCAACTCACAAACCCATGGTGGAGACAAGAAGAGAGAGAGTGGTAGCATGGTCTCTCTTAGTAATGCAACGCAGCTAAAAAAGAAAAAAGAAAAAAAAGAGAGACACAACCATGAGCAAAAACACAACAGCGATCAAGAGCAGCAAGTTCGAAGTCTTACCTTGCAAGTGTGAGTTCGAAGGGTTGTAAGGGAAGAAGGAGCAGCATTGTTTGAATTGCAACAATGGAAATCCAACCTAAAAATGCTAACCCAACATAGCCAAAAACAAAAACAAACACAGCCATGAGCCAAAAACAAACCCAGCCAAAAACAAAAATAGTTATCAGTCATACGTACTGTAATGAATAGCCCAGTTCGAAGGGTTGTGAAGGAGGAGAGGAGAGAAACGACGTAATCAACATAATCAACAACCCGAATTTCTAAGAAATACAATTGAACAAACAAACAATTGAACAAATAATAGAAAATACAAATAAAAATTCACAACAACCATTGAATCAAGATGGTACAAAGAAAACTACCAAACATTTGGGGTACAATGGGAAGCTTTTCCCTCATAGCAAAATTAAGAAAGTTCATCAGCAATTAACAAAATAATATGCAAAAAACTTTGAGAAACAAACAATTAGTCACAGATTCAGCTCATTTCAATCTTCATTCAAATAAAAACAATTTTTATAAATTCAATCATCATAGCATAAATATGTATAGACACATACATTTAGAAGATTACAAAATGGTAGGTAAACCTAAACCCAAAAGAGGTGTTAAATGTTTTTATTTTGCACCTTTTGTGAGTAACAAAACAGAGCAGAAAGAGAAGAAAAAAGAGATTACCTTGGTGAGAATCAGTTCAGTTCCTGCTCTAGAGTCGGAAATTTCTGTTTGGTAACTGGTAAAAACAACGAAGTCAACAAAGAAAGGGGAGTGAGCAATTTCAGATAAATAAAGAAACTGCAATGAGAGGAAACATGTGGTTAGCAAACAAGTAAATAAAGCAAAAAAAAGGAACTTCAACGGAAGAATTTAAGGAAAGAATAATTCAAGCACATAAAGAAATAAATATGTTTTGCAACATTCATAGGAAAATATTACATCACAGGACAATGAAGAAACTTCAATGTTAGCAAACAGATAAATAAAGCAAAAAAAAGGAACTTCAAGATAAAAAAAACTGTAATGCCTTTATAATTAGTCTCTTACTCTCAACATCATCATACCAAAAGGTTAAGGAAGAAATTGCAATGCCTTTAATCGAAAAAAACTTAACTTAAAAAAAAAAAAGGGTGAATTACACTAATAGTCCCTATAGTTTGGGGCTTGTATCACTTTTTGGTCCATAACTTTTCAATTGTGACATATTTGACCCTGAATTTTAAATTTTGTTCCAATTAAGGACAATTGAAGATATCATTAGATTTTTCAAGGGTAAAATTGTCAATTTGATAAAATATAAACTAATTTGACAAAAATAAATGTCAAACAAATATTTTTAATTTTTTAAAAATTATTTCTACCTACTAAAAATAAAACTTGTAAAATTGATAAATCTTTTAGACATTTATTTATTTATTTTACCAAATTAATTTTTATTATGTATTTGGATGATGATCATGTAAAATTAATTTTAAAAAATAATCATGTAATTTTTATTAATTTTTATCAATTTTACATAATTTTATCATTGGTGGATAAAAATAATTTTAAAAAAATTAAAATATTTTTTTGATATTTGTTTTTGTCAAATTAGTTTATATTTTATTAAATTGATGATTTTGCCCTTGAAATTAAACAATGGTATCTTCAATTGTCCTTATTTGGAACAATATTCAAAATTCAGGGTCAAATGTGTCATAATTGAAAAATCAAGGACCAAAGTGACACGAGTCCCAAACTATAGGGACTATTTGTGTAATTTGCTCAAAAAAAATTTACAACAGGATGATAACAATAGAAAAAAAAAAGGCACTGCAATGTTAGCAAACAGATAAATAAAGCAAAAAAAAGGAACTTCAAGATAAAGAAACTGCAATGCCTTTATAATTAGGCTCTTGCTCTCAACATCATCATACCAAAAGGTTAAGGAAGAAACTGCAATGCCTTTAATCGAAAAAAATTTAACTCAAAATAAAAAATATTACAACAAGAACCACTGCAACCATATTTGATGCTCAAAAGCAACACTATAAAATGATCATTCTATTTAATCAAAAACAGAACCAGCCAAGTGATAATTATATTTTGATACAACAGGAACCACTACAATCAGATTTGATGCTCAAAAGCAACACTATAAAATGATCATTCTATTTAATCAAAAACAGAACCAACCAAGTGATAATTATATTTTGATAACCACCATTAAGAAATCATTATACTATTTACCCCCACTTAATAATACTCGTGAAAAAATAATATTTTCAATTTCATCTTTTTGAATGATTAAATCCAAACTATTTTTAAAAAGTCACTCAAAAATCTTTAGCCCATCAAAGTTGGAGTATTTTGTTTTCATCCATTTTCCATGATAAACAGCACAATATCTCAAATTCTGGGAACCCTGTTCAAGCAAGCAAACACAACAGAGATTTGAGTAATTGATCATAGAAAACAACACAAACATCATTAGACTTGAACACAAACCAAACAAAAAATACAACAACATAGCAAACATGAACTAACAAGAACTGGGAAGCAAACACTGAAATGAAAATTGTGCAAATTTTGGGCCACTGTTCATGGAAAAACATGACAGCAATCAAGTCTTACCTTGCGAGTAGGAGTTCGAAGGGAGTTGAAGGAGGAGCAACGTTGTTTGAACCTAAAAATGCTAAAAACAAACCCAACCGAAATCAAAACAAACAAACAATCTTACCTTGCCAAGCGTCGGTAGAGGACAGAAGTGATGTAGGAGGATGTGGGAGCTGGAGATGAAGGGATTAAGGCTGTGGCTGGGAGGGATAAAGGAGGACAGGAAGAAGGGGTTTGAGTTTGGGTCTCTGGCGAGGGAGAGGAGAGGTGGTCGGTAGTCGCGATGGCGGGGTTCAAGCGGGTTTTGTTGAAGAAGAAGAAACAGAGAGGGAGGGAGAGATAAAAGAGGGAATGGAGAGGAGACGTGGGTAGGGTAAGGGAGATAAATGTTGGATGGAAAGTAAATATATTTGATCATTAATATATATTTAGGATTGATTTAGACCATTAAAATCAACTGTCTTGTTTTATCTCTATAAAAAAATAAACCATGAAAATTTAAATTAGATGTATTGGGCATAATTAAGGAAAGGATAGAGGGTGTTGTTCGAGTTGTAAGCGTAATTCAAATTATTTATTTTGTTTGGTCAAAAAAAAATAATTTAATTAAATAATTGTAATATATTTAATTTATTACATTTGTTAGATGTATTGGGCATAATTAAGGAAAGGATAGAGGGTGTTGTTCGAGTTGTAAGCGTAATTCAAATTATTTATTTTGTTTGGTCAAAAAAAAATAAATGAATTAAATAATTGTAATATATTTAATTTATTACATTTGTCATAAATAAAATTAAAAAAATAGACAATAAGTGTATTTTTGAAAACAGACCATTCACTTTTTTAGTGACAAATACTATAAATTGAATTGGCTACAATTATTATTATATATATATATATATATATATTTTTTTGTGGATGATATACACGAACAGTCTGATAAAATGAATTGTTTGGACATCGGTAACCCTTTTATCAAATCACATTGTATCTCAAAAAATAAATGGTAAATGTAATTTAAAGTGTAAAATTGAATATAAATGTGATTTGATGAAAGAGTTACAAAAATCCGATCAACTTATTTTTTTACAAACATATTCTACTCAATGTACTTTAAAAAATGAACAATTCAAATTATCAAGTGATTTTCAAAATAGACCCAATTGGAACCCCAACACATGCTCTCTTTTTAGGCCATTTCTATCAATTTTATGGCCCTTCACATTTAAGAGCATCCATAGTGGAGCTGTTAAGGGGTGTGTTAGTGTCAGCTGTTAATATTTTGACTAGTGAAAGGCTCAAATGATGCTCCAATAGAGTTGTTAGGGGGTTTGTTAGTGTCATCCATTAGTGCCAGTTATTAATTTCTTTGTTATATGTAGCGAGCCTTTTAGCCAGCGAGAGAGAGAGAGAGAGAGAGAGAGAAAATAGAGAGAGAGAGAGAGAGAGGGAGGAGGGGGACACTGGGAAGTGTAGTGGGGTCATCCGACCGAATGTCCAGATCCTTGTTGTTCTGTTGATGTTTTTCTAGGTTCAGATTTTGGGTTTCGTGGTGAGGAATGTAGTGATGATAGTCAACAGGTATAACAGCAGCAACCAATGAGGAATTCTGGATTGGTGAGGTATCGATCTGCGTCGAGTTCCTATTTTGCAAGGCTCGTTAATACTAGTGGTGGTGGTAGTGGAGAAAATTGTGATCAATTTGTCAATCCTCGGCCTTCAAGTTTAGAAACAGACTAAATTTTTGCTAGATTTATGTCCCGTGGTGGTACACAAGACTCAACTCCTCACAATCTATGTGATATTGGACAAAATTCTTCAGCAAATGAAGCTTTCCAACCATAATTTGTTGCAAATTTGAAGCAAGAAATTGATAATTTTTAGCAGTAGCAACACAATAGTGCTTATTTTATTTATTATATATATATACTCTTAACACATCACACATTTTTAGGTCATATTTTTATCACTTTTTATTATGTAACACACTTTAACACACTTTTTTAACTATCCCATTGTGGATGCTCTAAGACAAACAAAATGGGATGGCCACGTGAGGTGTTAGTAGAATTACTATTCATTTGCCAGGTGAAATCATGTTGGTCCCACAGAGCATTTTAGTAAGGAAAACTTTACAAAAATTGTAACCAAATTATTCTAAGAGAAAGATTAGAGCTACACATTTATTTACCATAAAAGTTTTATAAAAAAGTGTGTGATTATCTCAAGACTTTTATCATAAATAGATATGTGTTGTGATTTAATTGGTATATTATAAGATTCATGTATAAAATGAATTTAAATCATTCATTGGTATTTTTGGATAAAATTCTATTTTAATAAAATTTGAGTATTTCTATTTTGGATAAAATTATGACTATTTTAGTAAAATTTGAGTATCCCTAAATACACCTCAAAAAAAAAAATATTGTTGGACATTTCACATTATATAAATAGAGATGTGTGATTGGTATTTAATTGATGTATTGTGAAATCCATAGACAAAATAAATTTGAACCACAAAATTGATGTTTTGGGATAAAATTGGGGTGGTTCTAATACACCTCAAAAAAATTGTTGGACATTCCGTATTTATGAATTTCATAGTTTATAAATAGAGTTGTGTGGTTGAGATTAATTGATGGATTGTGGGACCTATATACAAAATAAATATGGACACATTGATAATTATGGGTAAAATTATGAATATGTATTATCACTGTTTACTAAAATCGGGATGGGGGTACCTGTTGAGCCCAGTAGGATTTGTTGTGCTGCCAAAACAGTAACGCTTTGCTGTTGATTTTTTTTTTTTTTGGTTATTCTTCTTGGTTTTCCTTTTTTGTTGTTGCAAGTTTTTGCAATGATAGTACTTTGTTTGGTTTTGTTCCAAATCTAATTTTAAAAGAATAAATTAATTTGACAAAAATAAATACAAAAAAGATAGTTTCCAATTGTCAAAAACTATCTTCCCTCCAAAAAAGAAGAAAAGCACAAAAATGATTAGTGTTTTTTATGTTGTTCATTTTATTCACCAAACTAGTTTTTAGTTTTTTTAAAAAATAAAAAAGAAACAAAAACAAAACCAAACAAGTCGAGTGTTTATTTATTTATTTATTTATTTTTTGATAATTCACAAATACCCCACAAAATTAAATGTAATGTAAAGAAAAACTTTATTGGCATATTTTTATTTTATTTTTGAGAATGCATATGAGTTGGGATTTAATGTGCATGTATAGATTATTGTATTTTTTGTATTCTTTAAAAAGTCAAATAAAATTATTTATATTTTTTTTTAGATTGATATTTATTGGAGTATAACTAACTATTTTTATTGTCCACAGGTAATGACATATAATCTATAGATATTTATCATTATTTGATGACATAATGATGTACTTAAGGAAATATTTTTTTTACAATCACTACCTATTTATTTTTATCAAATTAATTTATACTTTAGAAAATAAAAAGTAAAAAACAGATTTGAAACAAAACCAAACAAGGTACTATCATTGCAAAAACTAGCAACAACAAACGAGGAAATCAAGAACAGCAACCAAAAAAAAAAAAAAAAAAAAAAATTGATGACGAAACATATACAAAAAAAAAAAAAAGAAAGAAAGAAAGAAAAAATAAGGATAATCAACAGTAAAGCGCTGCTATTTTGGTAGCACAACACAAATCCTGCTACGCTTGGAGAGCAGCATGTCACGGCCTTAGTTATTTCCAAGCTATACGTGCGGGACTTAGACAATCACAAGTGTTACTTGGTGATGCTAAGTCAACCTAACCCACAAACTTAGAAGAAAGACAAGTAAGAAGAAAAAGAGAATTTGAGAGAATGCCTTTATATTCACTTTGAGAAAGCTTACACAACTCTTGGATGGATTGAAACAAATGAGCTCTTCTTCTATTTATAGGCTCCTTAGGAGCATTCTAGAACACACAAGAAATTGTCATGTAGAAGTTTCCCGTGGAAGCCTTCTCATAAGTTATAAGATCATTCTAGAATGCTTTCTAGAAAGATGTATACAAATATTTACAAGTCTAGATATATGTACAAGTATATACTTGAATTCCCTAGGGCCTTCTAGAATTCTTCATAGTCTCCCATGTGCTAGAGTTTGCAAGGGAGTTCTAAATTATTCCATTGGCTCCTCATTCTTGCAAGCTCTTATCTGAATATTTTGGAGAATTTTGTAGGGATGTGACAAGCAGGTACCTCTATTCCAGTAAAATCCCCAAAAAAATGTTAAACATTCCACTTTTTATGAATTCCACATATAGAGATGTGTAGTTGAGATTTAATGGGTATATTGTGAGGCCTATGTACAAAATGAATTTGAATTATACATTGATATTTTTGGATAAAATTTTAGATGTGTATTTTTTTTAAATACACCAAAAAAAAAATTATTGAACATTCTGCATCTTATGAAGTCCACATTTTATACATGCTCCCATAGCAATAACATATTTTGGGGCTATTAAAAAGTTTATTTTTTACCATGAATTAAGTAAAACCTGTCTAATACTAGGGTAATTGATATCAATATTGTGAGAGGGCGGTAAAACTAATAACCAAATTTTACCAAAGCAATAATACTAAGGCACATTTATTCATAAGTCCTATTTTTAATACTTGTGAACGAAGGCTCTATTTACACACCACCTTTTCTCTCAAGGCAAACCATTAATTAATTTTTTTTTTATTACAATTTTAACTTTAAGTGAAATGACTATAGAGGACAAGTTATGATACACACCATTTGTGTATTTACCATAAAGGACAAGAATGAATATAATATAAATAATAAATTTCAAACTTGTTCCTTACGTATCTTCTCTGTCAAGAATCCAAAAACCCTAAATCCAAAACCAAAAACCTTCAACTTCTGTCAAGAATCCAAAAACCCTAAAACCAAAACCAAAATCCCTTCAACAAATAATCAAAAATATAGTATTATTGAAGATTTTGAATGGATTCAATGAAGGATGCATCTGAAAATTTTGATTTGGAACAATGGAGCAAGGAAAAGGTTATTTTTTTGTTGTTTTTGTTTTTGTTTTCGTTTTGTTTTCGTTTACTTGCTAAGTGGTAAATAGTTGGTATAGTTCGGTTAACCAGAGGTGGATATTATATCACTGTTCGACTTACTACAACCGAACAATATATAGTTGTTCGACTAACTACAATCGATCAAATTGCACCTGTTCGACTAACTACAACCGAACAAGTTGCATTTGTTCGGATTACTACGGTCGAACATTTTCAAAATATTCGGTTGATAAGAGTCGAACTCTATTCATATATTCGGTTAACAAAAATCGACCAATTTCGTTTCATTCGACTCTATACTGTCGAACATTTATAATTTATTTATTTTTTTCAGAATTATGCATCCGTGGAATGCAGTAATGTTGGATTTGGGGGTCATGTTGACTACACGAGTCAATTTA